CTAAATAAGTGCAAGGTCTCTATCCTCCACGCTTCAAACGATTTGAGGTGTCATCATCTTCTTTTGATAAAGCTGAATGCTTTGCCTGTAAATTCTCTTCAAACTCTACTCTTGACTCATCTAGGGTATCCCTGCCTGACTTCCCACTTAGAACTGATTCTCTGTTGAATGATATGCATATAACCCCCTTTAGGGTTTCTGCTATCATCCCTAACCTAGATTTCCACAAAGCATGTGAACCCAGTGGTATCGCTGTAATAGTCATAAAGAAGTGTGCTCCCGAACTTGCTCCTGTTCTCTTTAAACTGTATAATAAATGACTCAGTGCCTCCTGCTTCCCTGCCTGCTGGTAGTCATCATCTGTTGTTCCAGTTTTTAAGAACTCTAGTGAACCGTCCGACCCATTCAACTATCGGCCTATTAGCCTTCTACCTCTTTTGGAGAAACTCCTAGAGGCCTTAATCAATGTTGAATTGGTTCGTCATCTCTCATCACAGGGCCTTTCTTCAGACAAGCAATACAGCTTTCGTTTCTCTAAGTCAACTGCTGACGTACTAACGATAATCACGGAGAGAGTTTATCAAGCTCTAGATACAAACGGTAAAGCCCATGCTGTAGCATTGGACACTGTGAAAGCCTTTGACAGGGTTTCGCATTCAGGTCTTCTTCACAAGCTGAAAAGTTACAGTATTTCCGGGCACATTTTTTAGCTGATCCAGTGGTCCCTATCAAATCATGAAATGAAAGTAATCCTGAACGGCCACTCATCTACATCCTTTCGTACTAACGCGGATGCCCCCCCCCCACCAAAGAGATCCTTCCTTGGTCCTACTCTGTTTTTAATCTTCATTAACGACCTTTCCAATGACATCAGTTCAACTTGGTATCTACGCTGATGGTACTACCATTTATTCCTGCCTCGATAGTAAGGTTGATTACTCTGACAAGGTCAGAATGACAGCTGATGTCCAAAACGACCTCCAGACCGTCTTAACTGGGGCAAATATAGCTTGTCAATTTTTAATGCCTCCAAAACTAAACTTCTCTCCATCAATCATCTGAGAGACCTCTCTCCTCAGTATGGCTGAAAGTGACTCATTGTACTTTCTCGAGCTCACGTTCTCAGCTGAGAAATGTGCACCCACCTAATAAAGAGGCGGAAAAAAACCTGAAGACACGCACCAATAGGGGCCTTTAACGATATTTAAAAATTTTCTTTCAGCTTTCTTTCTTTTCTTTCAGCTTTCTTTTCGTTTTCAGCGGTGTCGTGGTCAGCTTTTATGTTATTTTTGTTATTCTTTTTAGTCATCATAGAGGTCGTCAGTGTAGTCCTTGCGAATGCCAAAATCTTTCAGCCTTTTGCTTACCTTGCGGCTGCTATCGACTTTCGTGTGTGAACGTCAAACTCCCTCCTGCTCCCTACTTCCCTGCAGTCAGCCGGCTACTTTCGCGTGTGACATCTTCTAGTACCCTCTGAACCGTGTTATTATATGCTCTCGAAAGAGGCTCAAATGAACGTCAACTTTAAATTTTCGAGGGAGAAAAATTTAAAAAGCAGTTAAATATATATAGTTTCAAAACATATAATAGAGAACTGAAAGGCAGAAATAGAAAATATTTGAATTAAAACTTATTTTGTAATATACTTTGATCACTTTGCAAAATGATATTTGAACTCATCACAAAATGACTGTTAGTGAGATACCTGTGCGTCATGCCTGCTACAGATAGATTTTATATTAGGCACCAATTTAGTCAGCTAAAACCTCAAGTCTCTTCGTTTAGTGATATCCAGTCGATTTCTTTTCTTCAATAACAAATCATTCAGCTAAATATGAAGATGAAAATGGTAACAACAAATTTCTTGCAATGGTGGTTGAATTTTTATGTATGCATACTGTATATGAAACGCAATTATTAACGCGCATTAAAATTAACACTTTCACTCAGACTTTTAATAACTCATTCTCGAATTGCCCCCTTATTCTTAGTAAGCCGAAGGGTACACATCCTACGCATGCCCCACCAAAATATTACCATGCACCCCACGTTGGGAATCATTGACCTAGAGATACGAAAGCCATATTGTTTATCTGAAAGAAGACAGTTATATTAAGTGTTTGGTTGCGAGAGAAAGGAATAACGAGGATTAGAATTTGAACAACGTTTATTGTTAATATACATGGTGCCGTACAAATATCACAAAATAGGTGGAATGTCCGTATTGTCAGGATGGTGATCAGGGTTAAGAAAAGCCGGGAGCAGTGTCGTACAGATACCGCAAAATAGGTGGAATGTCCGTATTGTCAGGATGGTGATCAGGGTTAAGAAAAGCCGGGAGCAGTGTCGTACAGATACCGCAAAATAGATGGAATGTCAGTTTCTGGGTTAAGAGAAAAACCGGGAGTTGACATATTTTTGTTCTGACCTAGGTCACAGTATATGGACGGTGTACGTGTTGATTATGCCGAAGTGACGGCGTTGGGTTAGCGAAATGTCGAGGTTGGGAGGCTTGTTCTATGGAACGGCCTTGCACGTGTTGGTGGATTGGCGACACAGTGGTGGGTCGAGTGGGTTGCATGCTTGCGAAGTTGGAGTCGCTCCCTTTCAGAGTCGGACTCGTTGCTTGCAGAGTCGGAGTCGCTTGGTTGCGTAGTCGGAGTCGCTGCTTACGGTGGTAACTTGATTGCGGAGTCGGTATCTGACTATCATGATACGAAGGTGCAAGCGTGAGTAGTCGGGAGAAGTCGATGCAGAGAGTGGTTTTGGTACCATATGTAATGGAGATGTAATGGTTTGAACGTAATATAGCGAGTTCTAACATGTGTTTAAATTCTGTCTTTGCAATTTTTTATTTCTCAGAACTCAGTCTCCCCTGGTTAGAATGGGTTGGTTGGCCGGTGATCTTTCTATACTGCTTTCTATACTGCTTTCTATACTGCTTTGTACATTGCCAGATTTCGTATGTTTCATTCTCAGGTAAAATGAGTCAATTCCAGTAGAAGTGTATGGAGACTGACTTTCTTTAATTGTATGTTTTGTTACATTATATGTGAGCGTTCATCTTGACATCGGCTTGATAAAAAAATCCAGGAGAAAGCACGGTGTAATCCAAAATTTAAAGTGAGGGGTTTCTTGTCTATGTCTCAATCTTGAACCCGTTTGCTGCCAGTCGTTTTATATGATGTATGTATTAACTGCTGCCCTGGTTTGGATGGTGTGACGTTGACTTCTGCTCCTGAGTCGAGTAAAAATAAATATCCATGAATTTTGTCACAGATATGGAATAGACGACCTTGTTTTTTTCACTGACAACGGTTGTCACAACTAGCTGAAGATTTCGTTTCCCTGGAATACACTATCGGTTTGGCTCACTGTACTTTCGTGCATCTTTTCCAAATTTATAGTGATACCAACATATCTTATAATGACGTCGTTCTCGGGACTTACTCCGGCTACCTCGAAGTCGTGGCTGAAAACGGTTTTATCATGAGAACGAGAGTGAAGAAAAGGTTGACTTTTTTGCTTCGCCAGGCTTTGGAATTGAATGTTAGCTCAGTCATGTTCTCTTCTATCCGAGATAATATATCTTGCTTGTCTTGTGGCGGTTCACTTGTGTAGTGTAAGTTGTTGATGTCGGTTGGTGTTGTCATGGATCTTATCAGCGATTTCTGCTAGTCGATTGAGGTTTAGCTCTTCCGGAAGTGATGCTAAATTTTTGCGTCATATGGGTATGAAGTTTGTCTTCCATAGTTTTTTTTTTAGCACTGTGTCAAAACATTGAGTTGTTACCCAACAGCACTCTCATCTTTCTCAGAAGTTGGGATGGCTTCATGTCAACAAGACTGAGGTTGTTGAAAAGATATTTTATTGTTTGTTACGTTGTGTCTGGTCGTTTCTCAACGTCACTTGGTCATCAACTTTGTTGCGGATTTAAATCAACAAAGTAAAAAGTGAAAATGGTGTTTAAATATAAAAATATATATTTATATTTTCGTGTTTGTATAAGTAAATTTTTCTTAATATATATGACTGTTGAAGTTCTTATAGTTCTTGTTTTGAATTTGTTTGCTAAAATGAAAAGAAATGTATGCGTGGGAAAGAAGAGACAAGAGAAAAAGTAAGGAGGAAAGTTTAAGTGTCACGTAGTTTGGTGAGGAAGACGGGTGAATAAGTAAAGGAATTTTTTAAGCCGATACGTCGTGGAACTGTTGCCGCTCCTTTTCTTTTGTTTGGTCTAGAAACTTTGCTTATATACCCTTCAAAAGGATTACGAAGCATGTATTTTATTGTTGGCGAGAACACGACCCGTTGGTTGAAAAATTCAACATTGATAAGAAAGTGGTAGCGGGACGCTAAACAACGAATATGTATAACAAAAGATGTCAGTCAAAGGAGTTAATAAGTTCATAAAGAGTTCCAGTCTGTAAATAATTAAAACATACATGATAATGTTATTTCAGTAAAAAAAAAAAAATGCAATATCATGTGTGAACATACTACAAATTCGCCTCGAACATTACGAAAAATAATTCAATAAAACTCAAAAAGTAATTTTTTTTGTTGAGTTGGTGCTTGCATAATTTAATAAAACAGATTATTTTCTTCCAGATTTGACAAGAAAAAATACACGGTATATTTATTTTTACAAATAGTTTCAGTGCGATTTTTAAATTCATCCCGCTGCTGTTCGTAACAAGAGTTTTTTATTAATTATTATTATTAAATGAAGGCATGTTTCAAGAATTGAAAAATGTGTAATACCATTTTCGAGTGTGAACATTTTTGTAGATAATTAAGCTAGCTTTTAATTAATTTCTTTTTATAATTCTAATGATGTATAAAAATAAAAACATTACTTATATTAAGTTTCATAAAAGCGTTGTGAGTGCCAATCGACCGTACAACTAAAAAGGTGGACACAAAGGCAAGGAGATTGGCAATAGCAAAGAGGGATGACAAACGCAGATGTTCCGTTGTAGACGATGGAAATCGTGTCATTATTTGCAAACGGTGGATGGTAAGGCGACAGAGGTCGTTCGTTCGGGAACAGTATCCGGACGTTGGAACTGGTCGCTGGACGTCAGTGGGCACTGGATAGGATCGTCAGGCGTCAGCGGGCGCTGGAACAGGTAGCGAGACGTCGGTAAAGCGCTGCAGGAGTGAGCCGGAGATTGCTGGAAGCTGCAGGGGTGAGCTGGAAACTGCGGGAAGCTGCAGGAGTGAGCTGGAGACTGCTGAAAGCTGCAGGAGTAAGCTGGAGACTGCTGGAGTGTGCTGGAGAGGGCAAGCAGTAGTGGAGAGTGAAGTGAGTGGAGCCTCGATGAGTGGTGATGGAATGACTTTCGGAAGTTAGCCCTGAAAAGGACTGTTTGAACAATTGCTACTGGGTCCCGTCAGCTTCTGGGCTCGGTCGACTTGACTGGGCGCGTCAAAGTCGCGATTCAGGAAGGCTCCCTGCTCCCCTGGCTGGCGGTATTTACTTAACTCCCACGGGGTCAAGATGTGACACAAGGTCGTTTTTCGTGGGAAACCCGAGCGTTTCTGCATAGGGTCTACTGGTCATGTCCAAGCTGGTCAAAGTTTAGTCCAAGTTTTGGTCATAACATGTCCAAGCTGGTCAAAGTTTAGTCCAAGTTTTGGTCATAACATGTCCAAGCTGGTCAAAACTTAGTCAAGTTTTGGTCCAAGTTGGTCTTGGCTTGTCTTAGCAGGTCCTGATATGGTCCAAACTAGACTTTGCCATGGTCGCAACCCAGCCCGAAGGCCGGGCTGCGGCCTGGCCGGCTAAAAACCGCTGGGAAGTCTCTGGCATCTATATAAGACGGTTCATACAAGAGAAGCGGTAACGCTAAACAAGTAAATGAATATAATTAATTTCAGGCCGTATTAATTACATTGTTAAGTATTAATTGTCAGTTTGAAAGGAGGTCGTTGCTATTTTTAGCACACAAGGGTCGTGACCTTTCTCTACCGGCAGGCATATCCGGGGTTGTTTACGAAAAGGTGGGAGTGGTGATCGGGCACACTGCGACAAGGCCAACGTATCACCAGAACACCCACAACAGATTTTCAAGAGATTTTTAAATTTGTTGTTTTCAGGTTTCGTCTATAATGGATGTTCGATATGTGATGAGTGACCATGCCAATGCTTTAAAAATATCTAAAATCGTTATTTACATGCGTAAATTTAGTCTCCTTATTTACCTTTAGGCTATTTTATTTCAAATAAAACCAAAACTTAACTTCAAAGAAGACATTTAAATTGCATTTTTTCCGTTTTTTAGGATGTCCATGGGGGTACCCAAATTGTCATTTGGTCTCTAGTCTCTTTAAAATAATATAATTTTTAAGAAGAAACAAAATTTTTTAATAACGTAAGGAAAATTTTTTATCATGTGTTCGGGTTTTCATATTCTTTTTATCTTAGACCATTTAAATGTCATTAATGTCAGGTTGAAGACATTGGTGAGTCAGTTACACAAACTGCACACAGCATTACCTGAAATGTGAACTTTATTTCGGCGGTTTCCGTTAATCGATATATTTCTGTTTACTTCTCGTCCTAATCATTGATATTATTAAAATGTATTTTTATTTTTTAATAAAAAAACGTATTCATTATAAAAGTAAATAATGAATGAATATGTACTGAAATTTTCATTTAAATTGGATAATTCCCTGATTTCTAGTAATTTAAAAAAACGCTCAACACCGCCCATTTTCCATTTGTGGTACTCAGGTTGGGAAACTTTGAAATCGACATGTATTAGAGAAGTGGTGTCCTATATCAAAGTTTCGAGGGCGAGACCTTAGTGCCCGCCCTGCGAAAATGAATAAATATGTCGGTCATATTGTGTTCAGCAGATTTTGTCGAGGTCACAACCTAGCAGGATGTCCCGGAAAAGGAGCTTCCAAGAAACAGCAGCAACCGAAGCAGCAGCAGGCAAAAGAGCAGCGACCAAAGCAGCAGCCGAAACAGCTACAACAACAGCAGCCGAAGCCGCAGCGACAGCCTGAGAAGGAGCAGCAACAGCAGAAGTCGCCGGAGAGGCTGCAACGACAGAAGCAGCGGGAGCAGACGAAGCAATGGAGGCTGACAGAGCAGCAACCTGAGAAGGAGCTCCATGAAAAACCTGAGTAGCAGGCTATCCAGCTACAAGAGGATTTACCGCAGCTGGATCTGTACATGGAGGTGGAGAAAGTGCCTCCATCGCGATCCTCCTCGCTGAAAAGGGGGGGTGAAGGAGGAGAAGGAGGAGAAGAAGGAAGAGGACCCAAAGTGCACCAAAAGAGAGAGGAATTGTGTCGGTTCCCTTAAAAATACAACTTAAAAGATGTCTATTAAGCTAGCTAGCTTGAATGTGAACGGCTTGAGAGATCGGAGTAAGACAGCCCGCCTGCTTCGTGTTCTCATGTCGTTTGGTGTGGATGTGGCCGTGATCCAGGAGGCACACTTTGTTTGCGACGTCGATGCTAGAGTGCTGCCTAATGACTTTGTCGTCTATTCAGCATACGAGGATTCGCAGTGGTTCGTTTCGGGTAGTTGCGGTTTATGCGCCCAACGATCATGGAGAGCGTGTCGACATTTTCCGTCAGTTGGGGCCGTTCCTAATGGATTTGTCGCGCTTAGTCTTATTGGGGTACTGAATCTCAAGATAGACAGGGGGCGGGCAGCTAGTGGGGAGGCAACGGTTGATCGTAGCTTCGTTCATCTGATTGACGAATTTGGGCTCATCGATAGATACCGGGTCGATCACCCGGAACAGGAGATGTGGATATGGGCTCGTAATTGGCCGTCTCACTAGGTAGCCAACTACCTGGACAGAATGTTAATGAAAAGGGTCGACCTAGATTTACTAGATTGTCCCACATTCCACCGGTTATACTATTCGGATCATAGACTCGTCTGTGCCCGGATGGTGTTAGGCAATTGGCCTAGAATAGCTGGACACTCGAAGTTCAATCCGTCCTTACTAGACAGGCGGGACTTTTAACAGCTGACTAGAGTAGTGCAGCGGGAATTAGTTGGGGCGATATTAGGAGTAGGTGGAGGGAGAGGCTTAAGGATGGGATTAGGTCCTTCACCACTGAATCTAACCAATAAGGTTATCGATAAGGCTAAAAAAGTGAAGACTCTAGAAGATAGTCTGTCCTGGGCGGTGGCTGGCGGGGGTTGGAATCCCATAGAGATAATCGGTCGCTATGCAGGCACTGAAGCGTGAGTCTAGTAGTTAGGTCAATTATAGGTTAAACTTTTTTTTACGTTGCTAGTCGTGGCTAGAATGGTGGTGTGGACGTCGTGAAAGGAAGGAATCTTGAGAGATGAACATTATTCGTATCAGGATCTGGTTGTTTTCTTTAAGCAACAGCTTAGGGTAAAAATCAGATCTAATCGAAAGCGTTTGATTTCAGCAGATTTCAACGAAAGGTGGGTGACTGAGGCGAGCCTGGTTCGTGTGGACCCAGTTCCTCGTAATAGCCACCGAAAGTCGCAAGAAAAGGATGGTCATACTATCAACAGATACACATTACTTGATGCCTATCCACTGCCCCGTCTAAGATTTCTCAGAAGTGTCTACCATCAAGCCAGAGGATAAGCCTTACATGGCATTCGAGGCCTGTGGTCGGCTATACCATTTCCGCCGAATTCCTTTTGGGGTGACAAATGGCGTGACTAGTTTCAGAGGGTTGTAGCTGAAATCATCTCAAAGGAAAAATTGAAGGCTATTGTTGTGTACATAGATAATGTTACAGTATGTGGCCACAACCAAGCTGATCATGATCACAACCTCAGACGATTCATAACTGCTGCCAAGAAATATAATTTGACTTGAACAATGAAAAAGGTTCTTTCAAATTGAAAAGCATCCAGCTATTGGGATACATCGTCAAAAATGTCACCATGAAGCCAGATTCTGAGTGACTGAAACCCCCGAATGGAATTACCAATCCCTAGAAATATGCCCGCCTTACGGCAAGCTCTCGGTATGTTCACTCACTATTCCCAATGGGTTACATCTTTTTCAGAAAAATACACACATTGACGCAGGTATCTACTTTTCCTTTGTCCTGTTTCGCAATCAAAGCATTTCAAAATATAAAAAGGGACATAATGCTAATTCTGCCATTTCTGATGTGGATCCATCTATCTCTCTTGTAGCCGAGACTGATGCTTTCGACTGTGCTGCCTCACTTAGACAATTCGGTGGTCCTATAGTTTTTTTTCAAGAAGATTTCGCGGCCCGAACGACAACACTTTACCATAGTCGTGGCTTCGTGAAAATGGAGGCACTACCTGATTGGTCGACATTTTGAACTGATAACTGACCAAAAGTCGGTCTCGTTTATGTTTAATCCGAAAACGACGAGTAAAATAAAAAACGAGAAGATAGCTAGATGGAGAATGGAGCTTTCTTGCTACTCATTCGACGTCACCTACCGCCCTAGTAAGGAGAATGCAGTGGTCGCCACCCTTTCAAGAGTATGTGGCTTGGTAACCGGCTTAGAAGGTCTCCAGAACATACACAAGGAATTGTGCCACCCGGGTACCACGAAAATGACCCATGTAGTTAGGAGTAGAAACTTGCCATATTCTGTCAAAGATGTAAAAAGAATTACGAACTCTTGTAAGATATGCGCAGAAAACAAGATATGCGCAGAAAACAAACCACCTTGTAAGATATGCGCAGAAAACAAACCACCTCCAGCAACATTCATTAATGCGACACCTTTCGAAAGGCTCCACCTGAATTTTAAGGGCCCACTACCCTCAAAAACAGAAATTAAATACATGCTCACAATAATAATAGACGAGTATTCAAGATTTCCCTTCGTCATCCTCTGTCCGGATGTAACGGCTGCAACAGTAATTCAAGGTCTCTGTTCCCTTTTCTTCGTTTTAGAATGCCCACATATATCCACTCTGATCGTGGATCTGCTTTTATGCCGGGCGAACTCAAGCAATTTTTGCAAGAACGAGGAGTGGCTGTAGGTCGAACGACTCCTTATAATCCCCAAGGCAATGGGCTGTATGAAAGATACAACGGGATAATATGGAAAACAGTACAGTCCGATCTCTGAGTGGGAAAGTCTCCTCTCAGTGGTCTTATACGCTATAAGGAGTCTATTATGAACAGCGACAAATGCTAGTCCACATGAAAGGTTCTTTTCATTCCCACGACGAAGTTCAGCAGGTACTCACTCCTATCGTTGCTTGCACAACCTGGGACAGTTTTACTAAAAAACCATGTTTGTCACAGTAAACATGACCCATTAGTGAGTGAGGTAGAACTAATTAAAGCCAACCCTCAGTTTGCACTGGTTCGAAATTCGGAGGGAAGGCAAACTACTGTCTCCTTAAGGGACCTAGCGCCGACAGGGAATGTCTTTGAACGCACAACTACTCCAGAGGGAGATACACTCCCTGTTCACAGAACCAGTCTGACCCCCTCAGGTAATCTTCTGCCATATACGTCAAGTCCAGAGTCACTACAAAATGAATCTGAATATTCCTACAGACCTCAAACTGATTCTATTTCGGACGATCTATCGGCACCACAGAAACGGCTTTACCCAATATCTGAGACAGATACCCAATCTTCAGATACCAAGCGGCCGAAACGCCGAAGAAAATGACAGCGTTTCGAAGCAAGATCCTTTAGCCGAAAGCCAGTCAAACAAGACAATCCCGAAACGTCGTCCGGTCCAGAGATGGATGCCGAAGGCGAGCCAACAAGTCGCCTCCAGAGAACTCGTAGAAGGCCAGGTCGATGGGAGAAGAGGTAGGTTGGTGGGTGAGAATGTAATATTCAGAAGTAATTGAGATTCTCTCTTCCACTTCTCGTGATATAAGCAGTTGATTTTTTCGACATGTATTGATAAAGTGGAATACATCTTATCTTTAAGTTTATTCGGGCTTTCTGTTTTCATTACACTCCCCCCCCCCTCTCTCTCTCCAAAATGTATGTATATGCTTTCCTTGGTACTAACTATTCCATTCTTTTTTCTCTGCTCGTAATGAGTGCAAGCGTGTCCTCAATGAAGTAAAGTTACTATTTGCTGTTAGAATGAAACAACGTATTACATCTCGCAAGTTTGGCTGTAAAGATTATTGGCGGTTCTGCAAGAGTCTACTGAAAAATCCCCAATCCCTCCAATCAATTCGCAGTCCTAACATCCACAGCTGATAAGGATGAATGCTTTGCTCGGAATTTCTCATTCAACTCAACACTCGACTCATCCGGAGTTCACACTGCTGATTTTCTCCCGAGAACTGAGACTCTACTGAGTGAGAAGTGCATAAGCCCTTCGATGGTATTGGGCATCATTTGTAAATTAGACTCTCATAAAGCAAGTGGTGGTGACGGGATACAGTCCTAAAGAAATGGGCCCATTAGCTGGCTCCAATTTTCTCCAAACTATACAACTATTGCCTCACTGATTCTTGCTCTCGTCCCTGTCTTTAAGAACTCTGGAGAACCTTCTGACCCATCTAACTACCATCCTATCAGTCTCCTACCACTCTTCACCAAAGTTTTCGAGGCTTTAATCAACACCGAAGTAGTTACCTCCCACGTTCTACTCTTAAACGCGTTCTCTTCCATTTCCTTTCATACGAACGCTGGTGTTCCTCAAGGCTCTATCCTTGGTCCTACACTGTTTCTAATCTTCATCAACGATCCTCCTGATGTCATCAATTCTCAAGTAGGTATCTACGCCGACTATATTACCATTTACTCCTGTCTCAATATTAAATCCGGCACTAACCTGACCATTGGTCTGTGGTTGACTGGGTCATGAAATGGCTTGTAAATTTTAATTCATCCAAAACGAAACTGCTCTCATTTACCCACCATAGAAAAACTTCCCTGCCTCCTATCAGCATCGCTTATGCTCAACCCCACGAGAGCGTCTCACTGCGCCCTGTTGGTCTCACGTTTTCCATTGATCCACCGCCACGAAAGTTGGTTCTCTGTGTCACATCTGAATCCATCCTTCACATCTACAAATCTACCATTCATCCATGTATGGAATACTGTTACCATATTTGATCTGGTGTCCCTGCTGTTCATCTCGAGGTTCCCGACAAAATTCAAAGACAGAAACGCAATGTGATCAGTCCTGATATGACATCTCGACCATAGTCACTTTCTTACAGACTTTTCTACAAATATGTTCATGTAAACTGATTTTCATTGGTGTCCCGACTGCA